AAAAATTTACCATGAGCTCCAAGGATGGGAATTATCGGTTCATGGATTACTATGGAGGAATACCAAGTATTTACCTGAAATCGAAGAAGTCCAATGCAGTCATAGTTTCCAAAACTGAGAACTGTTCCACAAGTAATTTCAGAATCATTGAAATTCTATTTATTCTAGTAATAACCTTCAGCATGTTCCTCTCATCTCTTACCTGTAGAAAACATAAATATCATAATCAGACAGAGTGGTATTTTCTTCATATCCTACCTATTTATTTCAGGTCTTTTCACTGTTGTACAGCACTATAGTTCCTAAGTCTTTTCTATGTGAAATCCATAGCAGCAGGTTCTCATCTTGAATAGAGAGCTCTGGTTTTAACTGAAACCCGAAACTATAATTTTCAAAGATTGAAGTGTTTTTCTCAGATTGATGTTACAACTATGCCAAACATATAGTTTGGGTTTTTTTCTTTTCTACCCTTTTTGACTCAGATAGAAGTCACCACAAGAAATTAAACTGCAGACTGAAATAATTTATATCATGATCATTTCCAATTACTAGAATTCAGTTTTAATGGTACATGATAAAATATAATCATGCTTTCTATTATAATTACTTCTACAATCATTTCTATTATTGTGAAGGAACAAATCATAAGGCAGATGTGGAAAGTATTTAACAGTTGAGAATCAGAATAATTTGAGAGGTACATCGGGAGAGCACATCTAAAAAGATATTCATTAGAGACATGCATTAGCAAGCAGAGGAAAACAGAGATGACTGCATCTGGTGAGAAATATAAAATATTAAATGGAAAACAGAGAAGCTCTCTTCTGGCTAGGTTGAACACTTTGCCTGAAGGGGAGTCTGCTAAAATTCCTATTAGTTTCAATGGGATTAAACTTCTCTCTATGCCCTGGGCATGAAACCATTAAATATCAAGCTACAAAAATGAAAGATGATAAGCATTTCCTTAATCGCCTGGCTGCATACTTAACCTTAGCATTGACATTTCAAATTCTGATTGTAAACAAAGTTTTGTTTTTAAAACAAATAAATAATGAAAAATTATTCTGCTTAAGAACTGGGTTTTGTCAGCTAGAATTTGATACAACATTCAACTAAAAAGCCAACAAAATTATGAACGTGGAGGACAACAGAGAACACTTTCATTGGACATTATGATAAAAGTGTTCCTTCTTTCAGTCATGTCTAGTTTCAAATTTTCTTCGTATACACATGCTTTTGATGTTATTTAACGTATTTCTCAAATTACATGCAGTCAGCTTTTTTATGTGGATGCAGTGTCAGGCAGAACTTTTCCTTTGTTATCCATTATTATGTCGTGTGTGTAGCTTTGGAAATATTTTTAGAAATGTTCAAAATATTCCTGTTATACTTGTAATTTTCAGAAATTCTCATAAAATTGTATGCTGTAATTTTTAGTATTGCTTTTCTGATAGAATTAAAATATACAACTACCGAAAACAGTTTCCCTTTTGTATAGCAGATATTGTATGGAAGGATATAGTGTGTAGACATCAAAAAACTGAACAAAGACAGAAATGACTTTTCAGCATAAAGATACCTGGGAGCCCTCTGGTTTTCAGTTTTGCCTCTGAGCATGCCTTTTCTTCAGTAGAATATTCTCAAGTTGTTTCTGCTGTTATCCAGTACAAGTAGGAGAGTATAAGAGCCTTCTGGCCAATGAAATTGGTCCTGAAGAGTGATCTGCACAAAAGGCAGACTTCAGGAGGAAATAAGGTTTTGCTGATCAAACACCTGTTCTATCAGGATCTAAGAGCCACTCTGCTAAATTTCATTAGGGTGTTTGTGATGCTGTTTTTAAAAAGAGCACGTTGCTTTAGTAAACCCAAATCTATCAGTCTGAAAGGCAGGAGGCAAGAGAAAGAGAGGGCTGCATTTTGCCAAAATTAATATTTGCCTTTAACTTACCTGGCCATTTTGAAAGATAACCCTCACGGAGTCCATTTCCCATAGAATCTGCTTAAACCAAAGTTCATAAGCTACAAAGAGAAAGGCATCATTAGCATTAACTTCAACATTATTTTGCTTTTTTTCTTCATAGCATCTTACATTTTGATTTGAAATGAATAGCCTGCATTTACACTGCTGGTATACAAAAAGATGCTGATACATAAATGCATTACCTGTTACAGGATGCTGTCCTTTACCTAAACTATTACAGGAGACAATCATCTTGAAAATGTTGACAGAATTTCTAAAGTGTCTTTTACACTGTAGATATTTGATGTACAGGATGTTCATTACAAAAGGAAGAAACAGAAAATCTAGATCTGATCCACTAAAAGTTAACTCCAGAGCTGCTTACAATCTTTATGTCATCTACATGTTTTCTGTTAATAACAGGAAAATAGCATTAGGTGAGGGCCTGCAAAATACATGTATTAAGGAGCACCTAACCAGTGTGCTGTCTTCTAAACAGACTCCAGATGGTTAGAACTGAATTGAAGTTTCAGAGCCAATGCACAAATTTGACTACAATAAACTCCATAGAAGTCTATTACTCAGATGGTGAATGAATTTTGCTACCTTAATTTCTCTAGAAACAGAATCATTCAAATTGTGGTTTACTCAGTCTAAAAATTAGACTTATGGCTTCATAAGCATAGAGTTGATTACAGCCTTACAAATTATACAGGGACATATACAAATACAAATACAGAGCAATTGCGTTGATTGTGTCTCAAATGAAAACAAACTTTGTATTCCATGTTGGTCAACCACCAGCAATGAAATACTTCCAACCACTTACCTTGATGTGTTACAATGAAAAGATGCTCATCATGGATCTGTTTTCCTTTCTTCTCACTCTGAAGTTCTTGAGCATTCAATATTTTGTTCAGCTTAAAAATAAAGAAAGGTAAGACTTTTCTGTAAAGCTCTCAATGCTGCTATTAGCAATGGTAATTCTACTGTGTAGAGCTAATATTTAAGGATATCAAATATGTATCGGACTCATAGAATCATAGAATAGTTAGGGTTGGAAAGGACCTTAAGATCATTTAGTTCCAGTCCCCCTGCCACGGGCAGGGATGCCTCACAATAGAGCATGTCGTCCAAAGGGCTCTGTCCAGCCTGGCCTTGAATGCTGCCAGGGATGGAGCATTCACAACTTCCTTGGGCAACCCATTCCAGTGCCTCACCACCCTCACAGTAAAGAACTTCTTCCTTATATCTAACCTGAACTTCCCCTAAGTTTGGATCCATTAACTCTTGTCCCATCACTACAATCTCTGATGGAGAGTCCCTCTCTAGCATCCTTGTAGGCCCCTTCAGATACTGGAAGACTGCTATGAGGTATGAGAAGTTAGACTAAATGGTCCCAGGTGGCACTTTTACTTTTTAAAAAAATCTTGCCTAAAATGGACCATTCAGGTACATCAAGTAATAAAGTTTGAAAAATCATTTTAATGATATTTTTAATTATGAAAAAAGAGAAAACGAAATATCCAGCTTGTTTTCCAAACCTTACCATCTATGCTGTCATGTTTCATGGCAAGGAGTTCCTATACTATAATTCTGTGTTATCATACAATAATCTGCACAAGAGCTCTGATTTGAGGCTCTACTAGCTGTTAAATTTCTGGCATTACCAATTTTTTTACTGAGTCAAGTTTACAGTCTGATCATAGTTGTTTTAAAAGAAATCTTTGCAAGATTCCATATCATATGTTAACAAATCAATCTTGTGTTCACAAGCACAGAGTAATCCCACTTAGTTCACAATGTCACTAAAAAGTCCCACTCCATATTCTTTTATTACTTACAGCATTTTATTTTCACTTTTTTCTCAATTACTTCTAGCCGTGTCATTTTTTTGTTTGGTTGTTTGGTTGGGTTTTGGGTTTTTTTTGGTTTTGGTTGGTTGGGTTTTTTGCTTGTGTATGTCCCAGTCATCATCCTACCCCCTTGATCTCTGCAATATATTTTTCCAGCCAAATGTTTTAGGCTTTCATGCAATAATTCGGGAAAGTTGCACACAGCCTGCTGACATGGAGAAATTGCCAAGTGGTGGTTGTCAGACCAAAGAAAGACTTCTGTGGTCACCACTTCACAGTTTAGGCTTACCAATGTAAGTAATTCCCTACACCACTCCCTTCACCCCCACAAAAAATATCCAGGTTCCCTGCAGTTTGAGAAGCCAGACGCAGTCCACCAGCCCCATCTCAGCTGAGAAAGGCACCTGTGCCCATGACTGCACATAGAGACAGGCAGATGAAGGGCACTTGTAGACCTGTCATAGTGTCTGACTGGTAGGAGAAGCATCAGTCACACATCCTGGCTCAAGTCTTAAGAGCGACCAGGGCAGTAAACATGAAAAACTTACTTGTAGGTATTCTCCATAGACAAGTCCACCTTTGCTGGCTTTATTTATTCCTTCTTGTGATTTGTCATCTTTTTCATCCTCCAAAGACAGTTTGTTTAAATTAAATCTAAGAAGAAAATTAAGTAAATATGTAAACTATTTAATTAAATAGCTATCAATATACCTGCCTCTTTACTAACAGATGTATCTATAATTCAAATGCTTTGTTTTGAGAAACCAAACCACTAAAGCAGGCAAAAACCAGTACACCTGAAATACCTCTTGTCTCACTAACAGCTGGTAGCATTACATCTACTTCATCAAATAACAAGTGTTCAGACAACCTTTTCCTTTAGCAGTAGCTACAGTTGTCTATTTGTTGACAGTCGTTAATTTCTCTCTGAGTTTTCATATTTTACATCAACATTCTACTGTTTGAACTGATGTTATGAAGCAAAACAGAGGGATGAGGGACTCACAGGTAACTGTTCCCTGCGAAGGGGCACCCGCTCATGATTCCAGGATTGAAACTCGCTGAGCTGCGCACTGGTAAACGTACTCCGTTAGTGTTCCCAACTCACTGCAGCTGCCTTATATGTAACCTTACTTCACTGCCTAAGCCAGCCCCTAAACTCTCCTCAACCTATCCCCGCTATTCAGTAATTCCAGAAACTATCACAACACAAAGGTCAGTAAGTTCACGTGTTGTTGGCTTTCCAGGTTTGGTTTGGATTTTTTTCAACCAGTCAAACCAAGAATGCCTGGTATACTTGCTGTGTCCTGTGGCACATGCTTTACGTGCTTTTTACTGCACATTTTCCACCAGTTGCTTCTTTGAAGATTAAGGCTGGTGTTTGGGGTAAGTTAATGAGAGGTGCGTATGTGAGAAAAAGGCAATATTTAATAAATGTTCGAATCATTAAAGTAAGTTTTTAATTGCAGAACCTTGTATCAAGATATCAAGGTACTTTTAAGTTTAAAAAGTGAAACATGGAAAAGGAAAGGGAAGAGGAAGCAGAATGTTAGACTGAATAATGATTGTAAGAGATTTCAAGTGATACATATACTTTCAAAAAATGCACACAGATTAAGTAAAAGCACTAAAACTAATCATGTCCATCTCATGCTGGTTTTCCAGTTGTTTAACTCATGGCAATTTCCTGATCTTATTTCCTCATGCAAAAGTTTCTCTTATTGACAAATGTTACTCAATTCTATTTATTCATCAGGTTAACACACAATGATGTAACATACAACCAGTGTGCACTTCTTCCCTGCCTGCTAGCCTTCTCTGAAAAAAAGTTAATGCTCAGTTTTACTGCAAACAAAGCTGCAGGGCCCCCACGACCCGAGACCGTTTGCTCTCTGCAAGACTTGTTCTCCTTAGCAGTGACTGTGGCAGTTTCAGTAGTTCTAGTCACTTCAGAGTGACTAGAATGACTTGGCTCATTAAAAGAATCATACGCAGTATGTGGGTGATGGAATATGTACCCTGCTCAGCCAGATGCCGTACGTCAGGCTGTACAAATATTAGCTTAAAACTAAGCTGAGCCACAAGTAGGACTCCACTGAGGCAACCCATCAGGCAAGGTCAAGGTGATCCTCCTTCAGGATATGAAACTTGTCAGAGGAAAATAATCCTCTCACCACACACATCTACACATCCGCTCAGGATGCAGGCGAGTAGAGATGAAAATGAAGACCATGCACTGGGATATACATCAGAAATAAATGTTGAAAACTGTGCTTTTCACTATCCCATTTGCACTCAAGAAGCTTGATGTACATGCTGGTACCTCTCACATGCACAGACATCAAAGACATGGACAAGTAATGTTTATCTTGTCATTTCTATATACCTTCACCTGAAACATCCAATCTGAGCCTCCACAGTGAAATCAGAATTTTTGTTACCTTTTCTCATGGCACAAGCAACGAAAGAGTATGAACCTAATAAAAATAAGAGTAGTTGAAAAACATCAAACTCTTAACCTCACCAAAGAAGTTATCATCCATTTTCTTGTGGAGTTTTAGTTTCTTCTGTGGGATACAGAGAATAATAAACTTCCAGAGCAATGGTCTCTGAAATGCAACCTTTACATTGTCTACCCAGCAGGCAAAGGATTTTGAAATATCAGAGACCTTTTAAACTCTGTGCTTAACAAAATATTAACTCCCTGTTTGGGAAGTAATACTACCCTCAATTGGTTCAGGGTTACCAAATTCCCTCAAAATCTAGCTGAGGATACTGTCTGAACCAAGCACTATACTCCTCCCTCTGATTCAGCAGCAGATGAGTTTCAGTCAATCAAATCATCCAGACTACAACAATTTAGAAAGTTATTTCCAGTATTTCCAACATGTTCAAACTCTGGTTAGGTGTGTGATAGCTGATTGGTCCCAAAGTGCCTCCATTCTAGAAACCACCAGCCTAGTAACTCTTGTGAAACTTGACAATCCAAATCCACCTGCATCTGCATTCACATCTCATCATTCTTGCTCGATGACCATGTTCACTTTCTCCAGTTCAACCCTCTTGAGCTGGTGCCGTTAGAAAGCCTTGCTATACAGGATCCTCCTGCACAGAAAACATTCCCAAGTGTGTCTGAGTCCTTACCAACATCTGTTTTCCATCAGTTTCTCTTGTAATTCACTAGCAACCAAGAACCTTAAGGTTTACATGAGAGAATTAAAAAATATGATTCTCCAAATCATCAGAAAATTGCAAAGACATTGGGGAAAGTAACATGAACCATTTGTTTCAAGCCCACACTTGGGCCATAAATACATTCCTCTAACCATGTTTGTACAACATCATGCTTTGATTTAAAATAAGAAACAAAAATATTTTTTGCAGTGCTGTCAATACATGAAACACTTATCAAAATATTCACTCAGGTCCTAGAAAAGCTCCAGTAATTTAATAATTCCTTTTTATGGCAGAGATAATTAAAAGTAAGAAAGCTGTTACTTTCATAAGCAATTCAGAATGAAGATGGTAAGCTCAAGCTCTGGGTTTTTATGGAAAGCAAAAACCAAATATGTGTTTAAGAAAAAAGACTACATAGTAAATTTGTTTTAGAAAGCTTTTAGCTTTTAAAATATATACTCTATACTTTGTATATATTTGTATAATGAACATCAGACTATATTCTGTGCATTAAATGCAAATCTATGTTTATCAGGGAAAGTATATGAACTCTCCAATTCTGCACACAAACCAGAAATAATTTGTTCTTTTCTCTCTCATATGTAACCTCAACTGAAATAAATGTTCAATCTAAAATGTACATAAATTCAGTCAGTATGATCTGATACTGCACTGCAGAATTTAATGGTAATTTAACAGTCCATGTTTCCTTTTGAAAACTAGAAATGTTGGGAGCAGCTTCATGTTAATTTGTTGAACAAAAGCCTTACCTATCCCTGCCTCACTTCAAAAACAAGCAAACCAAATGAGACCACCAGATTCATGTCTTATAGAGGGAAGCAAAAACAAGTATGGGACTTAAAGCTTATAACTCCTACCTGCACCTCATATCTACCGAGAGCAAGCTCTGTAGACTGACTGTTTCCAGAACAGCTGTGTGATATTATGGATAATACCATCCTTGACACCATTCAGGGAAATTTAATCTCACACTAGCTGAGTTCTGCTCTCTAACTAAACTATTCCGCTACAACAGATCTCAAACCATACAAGACCAGTGGAAGAAAAGGTCTTAGTGAGGACTTGAAAACCCCTGAAATAAAACACAGACAATACGGAACTATCATTCATTCATCTTAGTGGCAGCCTTCACCTGATCTCAGCAAGGCTTCACAAGTCTGTAATGAACTTGGTACTAAAAAAAATGTTTAAAAAGTGACTTGTACTACAAAATCATGAAACTGTCTGTTAGCAGTGTAGATGACAATGCAGATTAAAAGAGCCTTCAGTTTTGGGTCAGCTCAGAGCCTTAAACACTGGCATGGCTGTGAGACCCTTAGAAATGAATCTGCTTCTGCCATGCTGCTCAAATTTGGGACTCAGTGTAGGGACCTGATTTTTGAGAGAAGCCTTTATGCTCTGGCAGAGATTTTACAGCTGCTTTGCCATCTCTTTATACTAGCATTACCATAAATGAGTCTTGACGCAAAAAGCTCTTCCGTGTGAATACATCTGAAAGCAAAACACAACCTTCATTTTAATTGACAGTATTACTTTTGTTTCTCAGAATGCACTGTCATTTCCCTTCCTCATGCTGAACACTCAAAATCACATAGAAGCAGATGTGATTCTGACTGTTCAGCATGAACGCACACACAACTTGCTGTTCGTGTTGTGAATGGCTGAGCAAAGCCATGAAGACCAGGAGTGTGTGTATGTGGCCTTGAGTTTTTAGTTATTTGTTTATTTACTTCTAAAGTATGAAAGTCAGACAGAAAAACTTCTGCTCATCCCAGAAACCTATCAAGAGAATTCTGACCTTCAGCAGACAGTGAGAATGCTCTGTTTCATGACTGGGCTGAATACAAGACAAACACAGCAGAAAAAAAAAATCACGGCTTCACAGAACTGCACTTTGGGGCCTTCAAATGAACTGTCATGGCCTTCATGACCAGCATGTGAATTGTTAAGCACCCTTCTTAATCCACCCTCCTCCCCTTTCTGTTTACCTCGCCTCAACCAGATGGACATGGGGTGGCTGAGCTAGTTTCTCTCATCTCAGCTGCAACAGGGTTGCAGTACGGATACAAACTGGACTTACATAGAGAGAAGCGATTCATTCATACATGCAAAAATGGAGCCTCCTTCTAAGCCTGGCCAAGGCAAGGTTTGATGAAAGGTGGAGGTAGCCAATAACGTATTTTGTAGTTACAGGTGGGGTCAAGAGCCTGCATGTTCTTATTGTGTGGGGCTTTATGTCTAAAATATTAGTCTGATGAGGACAGGTAAGTAAGAGTGACCCCCTATGCATTGTCATGAATCCAACAAATGTTGGATTAGAAGTGATTAAATTAGAAGCGACTTGTTCACCTAAGCCAAATCTCAAGTTATCCCATATGAAATCACTTATGGAGGAAAAAAGAAGACCAAGGCACACACAGATGGTTTGGATGGTGCCACCAATTCTTCTGCTCAAAATCTCATTCTGATTACAAAATCATCACAGATCAATGTGTTTTTGCAGGGTTCATTAACTTGAACAAAGTGCTCGGAGACCTTCTGGCTACAAACAAGTGACGCTTGGAGCTTCCCAACGCTTGTACCAGAATTAGACTAGGAGTTATCCAGCACAGACGGCTTCTACCTACAAAACAGTGGCATCAGTGAGTTTGATAAAAGATCCTAGTAGGTCATGCCATGCTGAGGAGATTCTACTAGAAAGTAGCAGATTTCTTGGAAGAGGTGTTGGAACAAAACAAACAATCAAACATTTAAAAGAAAAAAAAACAAAACAAACCCCACCAACCTGAAAACAAGTTTACAATGAGATAATTTTTCTGGTATATCCATTTAACTTTCCAGTATTGATAGCCCAGGACTTCCTAAGATACCCAGGTCCTTGCACTTAATTACCCTTCTGTGAATCCACAGTCTGCAGCAATGACTTCCATAATAAAAGTGCATATCAGATGAAAGAGTATTTCCCTGTGCTAGTTTCAAACTTTCTGCCAAGTAATCAAGTAATTTTCATTTCTGCTTGGTACTAAGTCATGGCTTACGATCTTATGACAAATAACTGTGCTATACCTTTATAGTCCCAGTCACCCTCTTCTGCACTTGTGCAGATTCTGTTGTGACATTTTTGAGATGAAGCATTCAAAAGGTAAGTATCTTTTCAATGTATAGATGTAAGCATTGTTAGTTCCATA